TCACATTCATTTTCAAACCCTTTATTCTCCTTCCAGAGCAACAGGTGTTCGCTCATTGCTCCTGTTCGTGTGTGGCGCTGGGGGTCCAACACGGGCACTGGGCAACTGCGTACTGCCCCTGGCTCTGATGCCAGTCTGCACGGAGAGGCGAGAGCTGCAGTGAGCAGGGTCCAGGCTTCACTGAACTGTGCCATGCGCCCCGCAGTGGAGGGGCGCCCCAAGGGGCAGGGGAGGGCTGAGCAGGGCTCAGAGCCAGGGGCCCCCACACCCTGGGGAGAGTCTGTGTCAGTCTGCCGGGCTTCCCCCCGGCTGCCAACCCCCAGTCACCCTCGCCAGCACCAGAGAGCCCAGAGGTATCACTGGGAGACGCGAGGCCCGACCACGCTCTGCTCGGTCCAGCCTTCCTGGCTCCCCAGATCGAATGCAAGGTGGCTGGGATGATCCACAGCACCTGTCACTCAAACCCTCCTGAGGCTGGAGGCCAAGTGCTCTCAGCTCAGGGTGGGAACCTGAGTCACTGCAACCTGCCGTCTCACCAGGCAGAGCCGGGAGCCTGGTGCTAAGCCGGGCCCAGGGGAAGGAGGACCAGAAAGGGGCAGCAGGGCACCCCCACAGGGTGCCGGGAACTCCCAGCCACCAGCAGAGCGGGCACCTGTTCCCAGGACTCAGATGATCTCTGATAACAACCAGCTTTCCAAGCAGAGACGCGCCCGCCTGAAGCCAGCAGCACGTGGTCAGTGCCACGGGGGCGTGGGTGAAAACCAGCCTGGTTTCTGCAACGCCAATGGTGAGGCTCCCCACCAAGCACCCCGCATGGGGCCCTCGCAGCTGCCTAACCTGCGCCCACTTGCTCCCAGCTCCTAGCTCTTCCGATGTTCCTACACCATAGTGACCTGTGCTGCTGCACTCCAGGCCGACTCTCGGCATCCACTCCCTGCTGCCAGGCTGTTCAGAGGAAACAGCTGCCTATCTGAAAAGGATGACACGTGGTCTTGACAAAAATCCCAAGGCGTCTCACCACTCAGGTGGCCTTGACTCCGTGCGGGAGACACTGACCAGCAGGAAGGGCCCAAGGGAGGGCCCTGAGACCGCTTGGCCCCACCGGGGAGGAGGAGAGAAGTCTGCGGAGAACAGGAGGCTCCCCCCAAACCCACGGTCAGCGTGTGTGCACACGGCCCAAGAGGGCAGAGGAGCAGGACTGCTGGGCTGGGGTCGGTGGCTGCAGCGGCCCCTCTCGCTCGCCCAGCGGGCTCAGAGAGAAGGGGAGAAGCCCCAGCTGCTGGTTCTGCCACACCAGAGCCACTTTCCCGGGACCTGCAGAATCCTGCCGGCCCAGCGAGGCTTCCTCTAAGGGCTTCACTGAGGAGGCCAGGGGGAGGAAGGAGGCGGTGAGGGGCAGTCTGTGCTCACCCCCGCCCCTGTCCCTACAGGGAGCTGCTCCTGGCTTATCTCTGAGACACTCCCCCAGCCTCCCTGTCCTCTGAGCTCGCCGTGGTCTCCCATGGCCAGCGAGGCAGTGGGTTGCCTGTATGAGCACGAACAGGCTCCCAGTGCTCGGGGGAGGCCTGGGTTTGGGGGGACAGGGGCCCGTCAGTATAAAGGCCATGCCCCATCCCCATCCCAGAACGAGGCACGGCCATCTGGGAGGCTGCAGTGGACGTGGGACTCCAATGCTGACGCAGGAACGGCCAAGACGGTAACTCGGCAGCAGACTCACATGCACCCTGGAGCTCAGCAGGGCTGAGTCCAGGCAACGCCCAAGGACACAGGAAGCCCGTTGTTCTGTGCTGCCTCTACCGTGGCTTCCGAAACACAGACCACCAAAGTGGCCAAGGTGCAGAACTTCTTGGTGGCCAGCTTTTCCTTGTCAGGCCTGGTAACTCACAGCCACGAAGGACCTTCCACTTAGAATGATGCTTAAGGATGGGGGATTCCCAGAGTAGCTGCAGTGCTCGAGCCTGGGTTTGAGTAGCAGAACTCTCCCTCTGACTCACTGGGACTCCAGCAAATGAGGGCTCTGAGCATGAGAGCAAACCAGGGGGTCTCCAGCTCAGTGCTGCCGTGTAAGCTGGCACTCACGGCCCCTGACTTCGCCCTGTTCATACACCTGCACAGCATACACCTGGCCTCAGAGCTGCTCCACCTTACTCAGCAACACCTTGGGGGCAAAATTTGCAGCTTAGCCTGCAGATTCAGTCTCACCGTGCGAGCCTTAATATCGCCCACATGCGCCTCAAGAGTGACCAGCAGCGCGTCTTGCTGGTCACTTCAGTCACTTGCCGCTGGGTTTCTGCAGCAGAGATAAGTGAAACGGGGCCCGTCTGCCAGCAGGAGTCGGCGGCAAGCCCTGCGGCCAGTGGGCACGGGGCCAGAGTCTGAGGCGCAGCTGAAGGGCACAGCCATTTCAGAGCCCTCGCCCAGAGCAGCCGCTGCCTCCACTCGCTAAAAATAGGCTGCCGGCAGGGCCGCCTCCATGTCACGCTCCGGCCAGACAGCGCGCCGGGACCCGTGGCCACAGACAGCATCACTGCTCCAGGGAATCCCACACAGCCGAACTCCTCACTCTGCCCTCACTGAAGCACCCACACGCACACACACACCCACACACGCACTCATACTCACACTCACTCCCACATATCCACATACATGCACACACACTCACATACCCACCACACACATGCACACATTCATACACGCACACACATACACACTCCCACATATTCACATACATGCATACACACATACCACACACACGCATATTCACACACACACTCACACACTCCCACATATTCACATACATGTACACTCACATATTCACATGCATGCACACACATACACATATTCACATACATGCACATGTACACATATTCACACATACTTATGTGCACATGCACATAGACATGTGTGCACACAAACACATCCATACATATTCACGTACATGCACACATACAGATACACATATGTGTGCACAAAAACCACACACACTCACATGTGTACATACACGAACACATTCATATACACGCACACACACGTACTTGCACAGATGCACAAATGCACATTCACACTTACAAACGCACACACATGCACAAGTACACAGACACACTCACAAATACACCTACACACACGCACACACAAAATTACACACATACATACAATTACACATATACATGCATAAAAACACATACAGATATTCACACATGTACTCACACATGTGTACACACAAGCACAAATATGCACACATATGCACACATTCACAAACACGTACACATATGTACAGACACACATTTACACACATGCATCCATTCTTACTCACATGATGTACACACAAACATGCACACACATATACTCACACATACACACACAAACGCACATGCACACACATGCACACACACGCACGGACACACACATGCAGACACACATGTATGCAAACACTTGCAAACAAATGCACAAACATGTACACACATGCAGACATACTCATGCACACGCACATGTGCACACTTGCACACACATGTGCGCACATGCACAAACACACATTCACATACTCAAACACATGCTCACTCATGCACACGCACAGGCATGTGCACACACATGCACATACATGCCTTCAGACACAGGCAGATACACACGTATACACATGCACATGTGTACACATTTGTGTACATACACAGACACGAGCACGCGGACACACACAGAACTCAAGGCATGAGTCAGGTATTGGAGCCACTTCAAATGTGTTTCTGATCTCGGGGTCCTGACACACAGGACAGGTGGCACCTGTGAGTGCCAAGTAACACACTCAACCCTGAAGAAGAGATTCTGCCCAGCGGGCTGCTACCGGTGACGGATGTGTGACGGTTCTGGGTTCCAATGCCACCGAATCCTTTCCCAAGTTCTGACACCGTGAGTTAAAGCTCCGTTCTCCTTTAAAGACAGAGGGGGCAGCATGGGCACCACCTCCAGCCCTGCCTGACCCTGTGGCAGACGCGGCCGGGACACCAGGCGTCACCCCTACGCAGGCCTGTGCTGGGACACAGCAAGAACCACGACAAAGATACTCTGAGATGGAAAATCGCGACCGACTGACTCAGAGTTGCACAACATCCCGGAGGCCAGCACACGAAGGGCCCGGGCCCTCCTCTCCCCACACGTCACCTACCCAGCGGGCGCCGCGGGGGCGGCCCGAGGGGACCAGCCAGTGGCTCCACCCCGGCCTCCCGGCACCCAGCCCAGCTCCAGGCCTCCGGCTCCGGCCTGTCCCCACTCACGCCCACCACAGGTTCTGGGACTAACACTGGCCCAGTGAGCACCCCCATGGGGCAGGAGCAGGACAGGCACCGCCACAGACTCGAGCCCAGAGGCGACCGAGGGCTGACCAGCAAAGCAGCAGCTACACCTCGGGCCGCGTCCCTGCCCGAGCACGCCCGTCACCCACACACCAGCCGCAGAGGACGCCCGGAACCTCCAGAGCGAGGCAAATCTCGGGCCTGGAGGCGCCACGCAGAACAGTACCACACTGGCCCCGACCCCACCACCGATCAGAACCAGCCAGGACCCAACGGGAAATTCTGCTAAGTCACTTCACATCGGAACCTGAAACGCTCAAAATCTACGATAAAATCCCTGGACAACAGCACCCCAGGGGTTCGCCTCCCAACCCCCCAGCTTGCCCGAGCCGCACACGGTGCCGCAGGGCTCCGAGCTGCCCCTGGGCACAGCTGCCGGACTCGGAATCCTGTCACATCCCAGGACGGCAAAGGACGCGGCTCAGGCCGCCACAGCAGACAGCTGCCCCGAACAAGAAGCTTGCTGGCTGGTGCCCACAACAGAAGCACAGCAGACCACGGGCGAACCACAGGCTGACCACGGGCTGTCGCCCGCCGTCGGGGAAGGAGCATGGGATGCCCTGGCACCAGGGCCAGGCGCCCCGGCTGGCCTCCCACACTCAGTCCGATGCCCACCCTCCGCCAGCACGGTCGTAGAGGAGCAAAGTCGTTACTCACTTTCAGCGAGTCAAAGCAGGCGATCACGCGTCCGTTCTCCACTTGGCAGCTCTTGGCAGGGTGCGCAAATTTACATTCCGTGTCTGGCCGTGAGCAGGTCCCCCTCTGGAACTCCCTACAGACCTCCAGAGTCAGCCACTTGGTGTCCCGGATCGGGGTGACGCTGACGGCCATGTTTACAGGTTACAGGTAGTTAAACGTCTCCGTGAAACCAACAAACCCAGCCCCTTCCAAAACAAAAACAAAAAATCCAAAACAAAAACAAAAACAGAAAAAACAAAAACACAGCAACCACCACCAGGGGGAAAAGGAAAAAAAAAAAAAAGAAAAAGGAAAAAAGCGGAACTGATCCAAGTGTGAAAGGGGGTGCTCGGTGCCCACACACACGTCCCCTCCCTGCCTCAAAAGTCCCCGGGAAGGCGCTGCGTCAGCAGCATGCAGGGATAGTCCCCACCAGACATTCACAGCGTCCAGGCGCTCGCTCGAGGGGGGGTTTGGTTCGGAGAGAAACAGGCGCGCAGGTCGGAAGCAGGGGAACGTCTGAGAGTCGGGGCTGGCACGCGCCTGGGGCCCTGCAGAGCCCCTGCCCACTGCCAGTTCGCAGCCCAGAACGCAAGCATGAAAACGTGGCAGGACGGACACCAGGCTTCCAAGCTGCTCTCAGCAAGTGCCTGACAGGGAAGCTCCGGGCGGCAGAGTTTGCAATGGAGTTTGGTGGTGCAATCGGTATTGATTAGTTTGGCATAGACAGATGCAGCAGTTTAGAGCAAAATCAAGAAAATGATTTTTTTTCCTCCTTGATTTCCTGGCAGAAGGTGTCTTACTTTTCAGCAAACTTTTCTTTGAGAACTAAAGCAGCCTAGGCAATGCCAGCGACTCAGCCTCTCCTGATTGCAAGTAGGAACGGGTGCCTGGCTATGCCGGCGGGCGGCTGGGCTTGTCCTTGGTCTAGCTGGCAGCAAGCAAGGCAAAAGCAGAGACTGCTCTAGAAGCGGTTCCAAGCAGCAGAGACGTCAGGAAAAGGCACTTCTCAGTACCAACCTGTAGAGAGAAGAGATAGGTCACGGTTTACTACGCAGCACTTCATGGCAACAGCACCGCACAGGCGCACACGCACGCACATGCACACACGCACACACACACACACACACACACACACACACACACACACACACACACAATACTCACGGTCTGGCATATTGCTGCCAGCCATCGTAGGTTTATTAAAAAGGGGCCGCTTCCCGTGGCGGAGCGAGGCATGGCAGAGGGAGCCAATCACCAGGAGCGTTGCAGCAACATTCTGGGCAGCCAGCCAATCGAGGGGGCCGTCTTATGAAAGGTCGCGCCTGTCAGACCTTCATTACTATGCCCAGGGCACAGAAAACGTCCATCGGATGGGCCGGACCCCGCCGCGGGGGGCCGAGCATGTGGGTTTTGAATTTACCCGACATGCAGCGTGTGGACTGAACCATGGCCGGCTCCGAGCCCCGGCGGCCCAGCCGCCCCGCTGCTGGCCGGCCCCCCCAGGCCGGGCTGGAAACTGCAGCTGCCTTCCGGGCAGGGCCCCGCCGCGGCCACCCCCTCCCGCCCCGCGCAGACACGTGAGCAGAGGAAGGGGTGTAGACGAATGGTACGTTCTCCTGACCTAGCCGATTCACTTCCTCTGGCCTCCCTCGGGCCGGCCGGCCGGCCGGGCCTCCCGTCCCACCCGCAGACGCTGTCAATAGTGGCAGCCGCCGGCCCGGGACAAAAGCGCCCTTTCTCCCTCCCTCCCGGAGCGCAGACGCTGCGAAGAAGGAGCTCAGTGTGGCCGGCCGCGGATCTGGAGCCGGCTCAGGGCAGCAACGTGGAGCGTTCCGAGCGCCTGATTGGCCGGGCCGGGCCCAGAGCCGCCTCCCGGGGCCGGCCGAGCACAGCACCCAGACCCGCCGGGCCCGCTGGCTCCTGACCTGGCTCGCCCGGGAATGCTGCTAACAAAGGAGAGGCAGCTCCCGATCTATCGCCTGAAAACACCCCAGCCTCCCTCCCGGGGGGCTGCAGGACACCAGCACACGGTGGCCAGGACACGTCGCGCTCACAGGCCTCACGGCCCTCCTGATCTCTCCCACGCCAGCCACAGGCTCGGCACGTTCTCTAGGAAGACCACGACTTGTGACACAGACTCCGAAGTAGCTCGTCCCAAAGCTTGGGACTCAGCGCCCCACGTGGCCCTCCCCGGCCCTCCCCGACACCCCTCCAGAATCTGCACGTGCAGTGTCGCCTGGACAGACCCCCGGCAAATCCTCGCCCAGGCCCCTCTGGGCTGGACACCCCCCAAAGGCAGGACACAGAGAAACCTGGTTCCTGGTCCCCCGGGGAAACATTCCACAGCCATGGCTGGAGTCCGGGAAGGAGACCACAGAAGGTGACTGCTGCCCAGGAAGGAGGCCACGAAAGGTGGCTGCAGCCTGGGAAGGAGGTCACAGAAGGGGGCTGCAGCCCAGGAAGGAGGCCACGGAAGGGGGCTGCAGCCCAGGAAGGAGGCCACGAAAGGGGGCTGTAGCCCGGGAAGGAGGCCACGAAAGGGGGCTGCAGCCCGGGAAGGAGGCCACGGAAGGGGGCTGCAGCCCAGGAAGGAGACCATGAGAGGTGGCTGCAGCCAGGAAGGAGGCCACGGAAGGTGCTCACTAGCGGCCCGCGGTCCTGGCTGGCCCCATTCTGTCAGAGAAACTCATTTTCTTTAAACATGCGCACAGGGGGAGACAAGTGTCTAGGGGGTATGAGGAACACACAGCACACAGGTAGGGTCAGTCAGGTGGTACCAGGAGCCCCGTGCTAGACAGACTGATGGGCGGCAAGTGCCCGCCCCCCCCCCCCCAGCCAGTCCTGTGTCCCACCCACCAGGTACCACTGCAAGGAACGAGGGTCTGGGCAGGGCCTGAGCAACAGTGCTAGGGCTAAGACATTGCCTCATGTGTGGCCAACCCAGGCTCCCTCCCAGAGAGTCTCCTCTGGGCACTGCCGGTGTGACCCCAAACTAGCCCCCAAAATAACAAAATAAAGAAAAGAGCTTTTATAGGACTTGGATGGATATTGATTCCCAAAGTAAGACTCCCAACAGGCAAATTTCTGTGCTTAGGGACCAACAAAAATCTGTGAGGTGACATCCCACAGTGAAAATTCTTGTTCAGATCTGTAGGTTTGTAAGTAAGTGTGGAAGGGGATTACCTGTACCTGATAGGCTGTCCTGAGCAGGTCTGCTGTCTCTCAGGCATTGTGACAAATTATATATATATATGTATATATATATATATATATATATATATAATTATAATAAACTTCTGAAAAGCACAGAAGGACTAGCAAGAATTCTATAGCAAGAACCAAACTTTAAAACTGCAACCACGAGGCCCTTTTCTCTTCAGGCCAAATCTCAGCCGAGCACGGTGCCCTCGGCCACCACTGGAGACTTAGCCTCAGAACCCACCTGTCTGCTGCTTGGTGGAGGGGCTAGGGGACAGACAAGGCCGCCCAGTGGGCCCCAGTCAGCACCACGGTCCCTCAGAGCCACACACTGACCAGCAGCCCTGATGACCGAGTATCTCTGGGCATGGCCTGGACTCCATGCATGGCTTTGGAGGCCCCAAAGAAATACTGGGGAGAAGAGAAAAGAAAAGGCAAAAATGCAAAGTCAGAGGAAAGCAGAAGGAAAAGAAGCAGGAGGGTGGCCAGGCGGGCCGTGCCAGCAAGCTCGGGGCCCCAGACCCCAGGGGCAGTGAGGAGAGGCAGCTTCAGGGGATGCTGTGCTCTGCGGGTGCCCGGACCTGCCTTGCACCCGTTTCCAGCCCCCAGGCAGGTCAGGCCGGCACCAGACACCATGACCAGCCTCCGCCACAGGCCAGGAGGCCGACAGGAGGACTGAGGTGGCCACCGCAGGAGCAGCACATGGCCCTGGGAGCCTCGGCCTCCAGGCCACCCCAGGGGCCACCACCCAGGCAGCCACCTGCAGTCCCAGCACACGAGTCCCCTTCCCCTGCCCTGGGGACTATCCATCGGGTCACAGGCCACTCCTCCTTGCCAGCTGGGGACTGTCCGTCCGGGGCCCATCAGCCCTATGAGGAGGAGGGCCTTGTGGAGGGCCGTGTGCGGGCATGAAGCCCGGACCCACCTGCTGAGCCCATCCCAGCACAGCATCCTGCATGCTCTGAGCACACACAGGAAGGCATGACCACACAGTCCTCTGTTCTGCAGGAGCCGGGGGCCCTGGCCGCTCACCCCTCAGGCCACAGTGGCCCAGCTCTGCCCGGCCAGCTCCCCCTTACTTCACAGCAGAGTCCGCAGTGCGGGCACGTGCTCTAGGACTTCCTGGCCAAACTCAGCCCCAGCCAGGAGGTGGTGTCCCCATGTGCCGGCTCCCTGCGGGGCCTGCAGGGAAGGCCGGGAATTCTGGGGGCAGCAGCCCCACCTCTGAGCTCCCCTTGACGTGGCCATAGGCCCAGTGGCACGGCTCTGAGACCTCGGGCCGTGGATGCCCATGGTCACCCTCCAGCTGCCCTCCCAGGGGTACCTCCACACCACCACCCTGGAGTCCTCATACCAGTCTCCACAGCACCTGCATCTGTCCAGCCTCCAGGCTCCATCAGAGGGGCCAGACCACTCAGACACTTTTCAGAACTGGCCCAATCCCAAAGCATGCTTCTGGTGGGACCAGGCCTTGGTCATCTCATTTTACAGAACTTCCAGAAATTTAGGGGCATTTGAGTCCAAAAGCTCAATCTTAACAGGTAAATCTTGAATTTCCAAACATCTGATTTAGAACCCAACATAAGAGGGCTGGGGAGGTCGTATGGGGGTGCTCCCTGGATCACCCGTCCGTCCAGCAAGAAGCCACCAGGGACACCACCTGTGATCCCCGAGCCCCACCAGGAGTGACCCCTGAGCACAGAGTCAGGAGTACTGAGCACTGTATAGCCCACAAACAAGGAAGGAAGTGAAAGTCAACAGAAAGCCGAAGTATAGCACCGGCAGTGACACACCCACGTGCACTCGCCCGCCCAGGTTCAATCTCTGAGCCACAAGCGGGTCCCTCAGCAGCACCAGGAGTGATCCCTGAGCACAGAGCCAAGAGTCAGCCCCAAGCACCACTGTGAATAGCCAAAAAGTCAAAACAAATGAAACACATCATAATAGTCACCTCGATGCCAAAAAATCTAATCTTATTTATTTCTATTCAAGATGAGTCAATATAAGGCCAAATCCTCGCCCGTCATGATGAGAAAAGGATGTGGAATCCATTGCGAATCATGCAGAGGTCTGCAGTGCTAAAATTCACCCTGGCCACATATCACAAACTCGTGAAATACACAAACACACACATTCCCTCCCTCTGTTCAATCTGCAAAAGTTCCTGTATGTCCCCAAAGTGTGGTACCACAGACAAGAGTGACATTCAGCCACCAAAGTGACACCTAGCTGCCACCAAACTTCCACTGACTTACAGCGTTGACTTTAAGCATCTCTTTCAAACACTCTCT